CTCCCAGCTCCTTCCCCTCTGTGAATCTCTCACAGACCGGAAGTCCTACAATTCCGGTGTGTCCAGACCTCTCTGAGGAAGTAACTCCAGGTGTTCCAACTGCACGTGACACCACTCTGAGTTGAAAATCACGTTTAGTACGGGTTTTTTTCCTAAATAATGTATAAACATGAATATTCATTTTCTCACAGGGAAAGCAGCTGAGGTGGCAGCAACTGACGTATAATCTGAGCGAGATTTTTACTAACACTGATGTGTTTTACCAACAGTTTGACAGACCTTGGGTTTGAAGTCAGGTACTTCGATGATCTGAAAGCGGAAGATGTGCTGCACAAGATTTATGAAGGTAGGAGTTACAGCTGATGATTTGCAGCAGAATTGCCAGAATCCTTCCATTCTCTCTGCTCATCTAAGTTAATTTTTTGCGCACGGGAAGTTGTTTAAGGACTTAGGGGTTAGATTTCAGATTATTGCAAGGTGAGGGAAGCTTCTGTGGAGAGAACCCATGGAGTCACTGAGAGCTGAGAGTTCTGGCAGCTGGAAGTTGGTAACCTTCCTCTTTTCACTCGTAGTGGCCTGTATCTTTATTGCAGTATCACACAGTCTGAAAACAGGGCTCCTTCGGAAAAGGACTGGTTGGAGATTGAATTCTGTGGTACAAATGTAGAGTGTTTATTTTAAACCTGAAGACGGCTCTTCCGTCACGGAAACACCACCTGACTCTTTCAGCCTCGACGGATGACCACGGCGACGCCGACTGCTTTGTCTGCGCGTTCCTCAGTCACGGCGAGAACGACCACGTTTACGCGTACGATGCCCAAATCAAAATTGAGACAATCACAGACATGTTCCGAGGAGACAACTGCCAGAGTCTGGTAGGGAAACCGAAGATATTTATCATTCAGGTAAGACGTCCGTTTCCGAGTTCGGTGCAGTTAACCCTGACCTGTGTCTCCGTCTAACACAGGAGTCGGTTTTCCTGACACAGTCTTTCCACGATGGAAAGTTTTTGCCTCTTTAGGAAAGAAGGTATGGAAAACTGTCCTCAAAGGCATTTCAGACAAGGACTTTTTTCTTTATTTAAACACCTCTGTGTACCCAAGTGCTAACATTATGATTCTAGCCGTATGTAGTAAGTAGTTTTATGAGGAGCAACCCCAGTGAAGCCTGTGCTGGACTGGCTGCCGGCTGTGTTCAGTGGCAGAGAAGAGAGTATCGTTTTCTTGAGAACGTTGTGTACAGCCTCCGTTCCGTTCCTGCTGCTCACACCTCACCGCCCTGGGCTGGGCTGAAGAAGGCTGTCAAACCTCCCTGCCGCCACGGTTTCCTTCCAGGCAGGTCCGTGTAATCCATCCTTACAGAAGTCTGGTTTTGTGGGTTGGTTGTTTTTGTTGATGGTAGTCGAGTTTTGTGTTTGTTTTTGTTTTCATGGAATCCCCGAGTGGTTTGGGTGGGAAGGGACCTCAAAGCCCACCCAGTCCCACCCCCTGCCATGGGCAGGGACACCTTCCATAGCCCAGGTTGCTCCAAGCCTCATCCAGCCTGGCCTTGGACACTCCCAGGGATGGGGCATCCACAGCTTCTCTGGGCAACCTGTCCCAGTGCTCCCACCCTCTCCAGGAAGAATTCCTTCCTGACGGCCCATCTCCATCTCCCTCTTTCTGTTTAAACCCGTGACCCCTTGCCCTGTCACTACACATGGGCATTATTTGATAATAATAATTTGATGATAAGGCCTTAGCAAAGCAGTATTTCTGAGACAATAAAGCCTTAAATTGATGGTTTAAATCCCACAGGGATGCTAAGTCTTGGTCATGGACCAAAAAGAAACAGTATTTTATCAGGAAGGAATTCTGAGGTGGAGGAGGTGGCTCAGGGGAGTATCAGTCTTGCGCGCTCCTGACGGGAGGGCACAGGGAGACGGGCTGTTCCCTGAGCCCTGTCCCACTGACAGGACGAGAGGCAGCTGGCACTAAGGAAAACACAGGAAATTCCATCGCCCAGAGAGGAGGTGGAGTCTCCATCCATGACGATGCTCAAAAGCTGACCGGAGAGAGGCCTGGACAGCCTGCTCCAGTGACCCCTGAGTGAGCCAGGGGGGTGGGCCAGGTGGTCTCGGGGTCCCTTCCCATCTCAGCCGTGCTGTGATCACCTCCGGAGCTCTTACTGCCCGTCACCACCAGTAGTTTATTGATGGGGAAGTAAACGAGTCCTTACGCATCCGGACGCGCAGTGGAACACCCGGCTGAGGTCCCGTCACGTACCACGTTCCCGTAGGTGACCTCGGCAGAGGGGAAGCCACGCCAATCCTTCTCACCAACAGGCGTGTCGAGGTGACAAACACGACGATCCGGTCGTCGTTCGGGATTTTACAGACGGGAGTGACGAATCTGCGGTCAGCGAGACGGAGGTGGACGCGGCTGGTGTCTACACGCTGCCCGCCGGGGCGGACTTCATCATGTGCTACTCCGTGGCGCAAGGTGAGGGCTGGGGTGTCCCGTCTGCTGCCGTCACGCGCTCGCAGGCTTCATTTTGCAGTCACGGTAAGGAGGGCAGGTCCAGGTTCTCCCTTTTGCCTGTCTGGCAAAATCTGGCAAAATCCCA